TTTTTTTTTTATGGTATATCAAAAAGTGTATATTTTTTATATGTGATTGTTGGTACATTTTACCAGTTTTTATCATACTTTCAAAACAAAAATTAAAATAGGAAAAATATGCAATATGAAAATAATTGAAGGCAAAATGTTTTTTACTGAGAAAAAACAAGATTTGTTTTTTAAAAAGCCTTTTTCCAAAAGGTACATCTGGAAAAAGGGGGGTCGTCTTATAATCAGGGTCGTCTTATATTCGTGCCAATACGGTACTTAATTTTTCTGCCTAAAATTTCACATTTAACTGTTAGTTGATGTTTCTTTGTCATTATTTGTGAAATTTGTTAGTAATTTCTGTGTGAAAATAGTTTCAAAGTAAATGCTACATCAGTTGTTTTTTTTTCAGGGTATTGCGTAAGTTATATGCATACATCATCATACTTTTATGAAGCTGTATTATAATTTCGGAGCCTTAAAGCATCCATTTCATTTCCACTTTATTTTATAAACATGTCATTTTGTGCTTCATGGAAGAAAGAAATGCATGCATTTGCAACGACATGAGGGCAAGTAAATAATGACAGACGTTTCATTTCTGGTTGCACTATTCCTTTAATATGTTAGTGTGTTATATTCTGGCAGGTGAAGCCTCACAGATGTGATTCTGCTGGAGTTGGTGTCTCCAGCTATGGGTCATTAGTGATCTCTCTGATACGAGCGCAGGGGGCCAATCAGGTTGCTCTTCTCCTGTCCTTCTCATCTCAGCCCTCATTTCGTGCTGCACAAATGCATTAAACAAGAGATGTGCTGCCCCCGTTCTAGCAGAGGGCACTGCATGTCTCTCTAGAGCCCAGTGCTTCTGAGGAGGCTGAAGTTTGACCTTCTGCTGGTGACAAGAACTCTGCACTCAATGGCCATCCACAAACTCAGATTTGTTTTTAGGATAAGGACTAAAAACATAAGTGTGTATGTATCATATGTATGCATCATGTTTCTCTCCATATATACACATATATACATACACCGTATACATAAAACCACATGTATGTGTCTGTTATATATAGTTATAGTGTATATTATATATATAAAGCTTATTTTATTTCAGCTAGTTGCCAACGCAATGCCAATGTCAATGTAAAATTTCTTATGTATGATTGAGTCATTGAATCATTTCCTTAACCGATTTGTGATTCATTCAGAAACTAAACACCACCTACTCATACTGTGTGTATGTGTGTGTGTGTGTGTGTGTGTGTGTGTGTGTTTCACTGTTCTGTTTTTACTTTAGTTTAGTGCAATCGTGCTGTTGAATATCAGCAAATGTTCATCTTTAACAACACAAAGCTATAGAGTGTATTGTTACTGATGCAAAACTTGCTTCACTGAAAATAATGATAACTTCAGTGCAGTTCATTGATGTTGATTCATTCTAATTGATTCAGTTCAGTGAAGGATTCTTCTGACTGAATCAAAGTCTTTTGAACAATTCATTAAAAGAACTGACTCATAAGAATCATTCGTTCAGTAGTCAGACTCCACTGGTCTCACTGATTCTTTTGATTTGTTTGTGAATCCTATACTATCACATTGTTTTTGTTTACATGACTCAATGGGAAGCCATTTTCTCTCATTATTGTGCGAGTCCATTTATTGCATCATATTTAGTACAGACTGCAAACTCATTCACAACTCAGATAAATATGATTTATCTTGGTGCCAAACATCAGTGTTTCTTGTACCGTAATAAGCTGCTACCATGTTGCTAAGGTGTTCTGAATGGTTGCTATGTGGTTTTACTGTATCAAGTGAGTACTGTGATATTCTGATCTTGTGCCTCCTTCAGTACAAGTCTATGGGATTTTTTTACACCCGTTTTATCGCCCACCAGGTGAAAATCATAAGTCTGATATGGGACGAGTTACACTCTAAAGTTTAATACTTAGATTTAGAGGTTTGTTCAAATCCCTCAACCTAAATCGTAGCAATAAAAGTGATGTTTGCCTTAGCAAGCACCACTAAAAATAGCTTGGAGAGAAATATCTCTGTCACCAGCCGTATTTCCAACTGTCTTTATGTGTTATTGCCGTCATAAGCATTATAAACACGTCTTGAGATCGCAATGTTCTGCACTTGGTTTCATTCTGCTGCTCAACGTTAAGTTTAATTCAGTTTTGAACATGACCTTGTCACAGAAGCTGCTGGTGCTTAATGGATGCTAAACTGGTTTGTTTGGGTTCAAGATGTTTGAAAGTCCATTTTGGGTGTATTTGAGAAATATTGCTGTTGCACTTGAAATATAACAAGATATTATTTTGAAACAAACTGTTAATTTTTTTTTATTAATTTTTAATTATTCTGATAATTGGACTCTCTAATGTGTATTTGAAATGTTTATCGTTGCATTTTTTTGCATACTTGCAATACAAGTTTGTGTTGAGCAAAGTCTTTTATGCTCAACAAAGCTGCAATTATTTAAGCAAAAAAATATAGTAAAATCAGTAAAATTGTGACATTTTTATTACATTTTAAAATAACTGTTGTCTGTGTCAATATATTGTAAAATATATATTTTTCTGTGATCAAAGCTGAATTTTCAGCATCATTACTCCAGTCTTCAGTGTCACATGATTCTTCAGAAATCATTCTAATATGCTGATTTGCTGCTCAAGACACATTTCTGATTATTATCAACGTTGAAAACAGTTGTGCTGCCCAATATTTTTTGTGGAAACCCTGATACATTCAATTTTTCAGGGTTCTTTGTTGAACAAAAAGTTCAAAAGAACAGCAGTTATTTGAAATAGAAATCTTTCGTAACATTATAAATGTCTTTACTGTCACTTTTGATCAATTTAATGCATCCTTGCTGAATAAAAATAGTAATTTCTTTCAAAAAGCATCAGTGAATCATAATATAGATGAAGAATTTTTATCAGTCGATGCATTGAACTCTGACTGTTATCTGACTGTTTTTGATGGATTGCATGGGAGGAAAATGCCGCAAACGTGTAGAATATGGGCTCTTTAAATGCATGAGAGTTGAGGAAGTGTGTGAATGTGAGGAAACAACTTCATAGATGTGTATCCTAGTTGTTAACCGTTTACTCTTCTGGTTTGTTTTTTGCAGATATTTAAGCAGAAGGTGATGGAGCTGGGCGAGAAGTTGTTACCCGCCTTCAACACGCCCACCGGCATTCCCAGAGGAGTCATTAACCTGGGCAGGTGAGCATCTGACGCAGCTTCGACCGTCCCATTCGCAAAGCCATATGTCTCAAATAGTAGGCTTTCTGAGAGAAAGAGATGCTTTCTGGCACTCCTGCCGCCCACCTGGCTTCCGTTAGCCCACCAGCTCGCTCTGACAGCTGCAGGCAAATTTAATTAACTGATTCTCATGCTAATTCCAGTTAGATGAGTAACAGGAGCCGGTCCCGCAGATGGGCTGAGAGAAAGAGGGCTCAGGTTAGTCGTGATGACACAGAACGAACACACGTCACTGCCAGCGCGCTCTTATTATGACGTTTACGCTGCTGGTCAGTGTCATGCTTTTGAAAGAAGTCTCTTCTGCTCACCAAGGCTGCATTTATTTGATTAAAAATACAGTAAAAACTGTAAAAATTAGAAATATTATTATAATTTAAAATGGTAACACTTTACTTGAAGGGGTGTGCATAAGACTGACATGACACCTTCATAATCATGACATGACACATGTCATGAATATGAAGGAGGTTTTATGCATGTTTATGACAACTGTCATTAAGTGTCATTCGCTCAGTTATGTCATTTTTAATGCAAATATGACATTATTTGACCTAACCCTAACCTAACCCTACCTCTACCTTACCCCCAACCATAGCCCATAACAAAGACATCTCAAACAATGTCATCTTTGCATTAAAAATTACATAACTGAGCGAATGACACTTAATGACAGTTGTCATAAACATGCATAAAAACCTTATGTAGGTGTCATGTCAGTCTTATGTAGGTGTCATGTCAGTCTTATGTAGGTGTCATGTCAGTCTTATGTAGGTGTCATGTCAGTCTTATGTAGGTGTCATGTCAGTCTTATGTAGGTGTCATGTCAGTCTTATGTAGGTGTCATGTCAGTCTTATGTAGGTGTCATGTCAGTCTTATGTAGGTGTCATGTCATGATTATGTAGGTGTCATGTCATGATTATGAAGGTGTCATGTCAGTCTTATGTAGGTGTCATGTCATGATTATGAAGGTGTCATGTCAGTCTTATGTAGGTGTCATGTCATGATTATGTAGGTGTCATGTCATGATTATGAAGGTGTCATGTCAGTCTTATGTAGGTGTCATGTCATGATTATGAAGGTGTCATGTCAGTCTTATGTAGGTGTCATGTCATGATTATGTAGGTGTCATGTCATGATTATGAAGGTGTCATGTCAGTCTTATGTAGGTGTCATGTCATGATTATGAAGGTGTCATGTCAGTCTTATGTAGGTGTCATGTCATGATTATGTAGGTGTCATGTCATGATTATGAAGGTGTCATGTCATGATTATGAAGGTGTCATGTCATGATTATGAAGGTGTCATGTCATGATTATGAAGGTGTCATGTCATGATTATGTAGGTGTCATGTCATGATTATGAAGGTGTCATGTCATGATTATGAAGGTGTCATGTCATGATTATGAAGGTGTCATGTCATGATTATGAAGGTGTCATGTCATGATTATGAAGGTGTCATGTCATGATTATGAAGGTGTCATGTCATGATTATGAAGGTGTCATGTCATGATTATGAAGGTGTCATGTCATGATTATGTAGGTGTCATGTCATGATTATGAAGGTGTCATGTCATGATTATGTAGGTGTCATGTCATGATTATGAAGGTGTCATGTCATGATTGTGTAGGTGTCATGTCATGATTGTGAAGGTGTCATGTCAGTCTTATGCACACCCCTTCAAGTAAAGTGTAACCTTTCAAATAACTGTTTTCTATGTGAATATATGTTCAAATGTAATTTATTTCGGTGATCAAAGCTGAATTTTCAGCATCATTACTCCAGTCTTCCGTGTCACATGATCTTCAGAAATCATTCTAATATGCTGCTTTGCTGCTCAAGAGACATTTCTGATTATTATCAATGTTGAAAACAGTTACTATTTTGTTACTAATGCTTACTATTTTGATAATCCAGATGATATATCTGGCACACACACACTTGATTTAATATCTATTTATAGTAAAAAAATATGTTTAGAAGTATATAAAATAGATTTATAGTTTAATAATAGTACTTGATATTTATTTACATACATAATATTTAATTATAATAATTATGTAATTATAAAAATCTTACAGTTTATAGATTATTATTGGTCAAATTCCAATGCAGCGTCACATGCATATTTCAAGTAAATGTGCAATAATTGTCTTCAAAAATGACTTTATAATGTTTTTTTAAATAGAAGCATCTGCTCAGCTTCTGTTTTTTAACACCAACAAAGACTGATTAAATGGGCTTTAAGTCATTTCTCCCACCAGCAAACTCTCTCTGCCTTTTGTTTAACGAACTCTTAGTTGTTTTGTGCCGGTTTCGGTTGGTTTTTCCGCCGAAACTTTTCTCACTTTTCTCTTCCTCCCGAGACGTCAGTGCTATTGATCGTTGCTTCAGAAGGGAAGCGGTGCGTGGCTCGCTCTCACAATAAGAACCAGACACAAATAATCTTGTGAATTAGTTCCACAGTTTCACCGAAGCAATCCTGCAGGGAGGAGCGAAGCCCAGATCTGGAGCGGTTCATTTCAGAGTTCATTCAGCATCTCTGTCTCTCTTTCATGTTTCTCTCTTCAGTTTTTCCCCATTCGGCAGGGGTGAGACCTGCAGCGTAAACACAAGCAGAAGCGTCTCCGTTTTGAACAACGGATGAAATTTTAATGCCATTTAATCAAAACAAAGGATAAAATGCTCTGGGTGTGCTGTTCAAACTGCTCTTCAAATATTTACATAGTTGCATACAGACCATAACACTACAAAAATCATTTTTAATCAGTATTTTTGTCTTGTTTTCCAGTAAAGATAGCTAAACATTGTCAAAAGATCAATTTGCATGAGAAGCAAAAATTGGTAGCACAAGCATCTGTATATTTTATTGCATATTGACAAATATACTGCAAAAATAATTTTTTTAATTAGTATTTTTTTTGTTTTCCAGTAAAGAATATCTAAAAATGTTGTAACATAACCCTCACTATATTTTGTTGTATAAAGACATATAAAGAATATAAATCATTTTAATCAGTATTTTTGAAAAGCAACTTTTCCAGTAAAAATATATAAATATCATTAAAAGATCAATTTGCATGGGAAGCAAAACTTTGTAGCATAAACCTCAATACATTTAGTTGAATACTGAAAAATACACTACAATCAATTTGCATGAGAATCAAAAATCGGTAGCATAAGCCTCAGTATATTTTATTGCATACCGACAAATACACTAAAACATTTTTTTTTTGTAAAAATATATAAACCTCCTTAAAAGATCAATTTGCACAAGAAACAAAACTTTGTAGCATAAACCTCAGTATTATTTATTGCATATGCAAATACATTACAAAAAATCATTTATAATTTGAAATTTTTGTCAATTTTTTCCCAGTAAAAATGCATAGTTTCTTTAAAAATCCATTTGCATGGGAAGCAAAAGTTTGTAGTTAAAAACCTCACTGTATTTTGTTGCATACAGGGGCGGTTCTAGGGGGGGCCAGTGCCCCCCTGCCAACAAGCTTGGCCCCCCCTAAATTTGGACTTGGGAATATTAAAAAAAATTAAAAATAAAACCCCTGCTGAATAAAACATGGTTATATGTAATGGTTTTACTTGTTATAATGGGACTTGCATTGGTTTTAAGGGAAACTCTATTACTCTACTGGTAATAGGTTGCCTTCTACTGGTGGCTTGTTAAAACCAATAAATCCTAATGGAATATGTCCCAAAACACACTACAGAAAACCATTTTTAATAGTTTTAATGGTTAAAAAGTGATTGTTTGTAATGTTATTTGTTGTGGAAATCGTTAAAATTTTCTGTGATGGTTTTATTGTATTTTTTTGTTTGTTTGTTTGTTTGTTTTTTTCAGTAGAGACATAAGCCTATATCTGTTTGTGGCTGCTGTGTGTCATATGACATATTTTAGTTGACATTGTTATAGATTACATCTAGATTGCAGCGATACATGACATGGTGAAAAATTACTGAATGAATAATGGGCTACTTAAAGTAGTTTAAGATTCATTTTAAAATTGTGCCCCCTAAAAGCACAAGTGGCCCCTGTCTGGCCCCCCCAGTTACTGTGGTCTAGAACCGCCCCTGGTTGCATACAGACAAATGCACAACATAAATCATTTCTAATTTCATCTTATTTTCTAGTAAAAATATCTAATGTTTAAAGGATCAATTTGCACAAGAAGCAAAACTTCTCATTTTATATATATATATGTTTTATTTTATTTTAACTTGATGTACTAAAATAACAATAACTGAAACTAGAATTAAAATTAATAAAAATTGTGTGTGTGTGTGTGTGTGTGTGTGTAAATATATATATATAAACACAACAAAATTACAAAAAATATATATATAAAAATAAAAACTGATTTAAAAATATTAATAAAAACTATAACATTATCTTCAATAACACTGAAACAGACAAATACACTATAAAAATATTTTAATCAGTATTTTTGTCTTGTTTTACAATATGAATAAACATCAACAAAGAATCAATGGAAAAAGGAAAATAAACTTAATTCCATTCCAAAAAATATTTTCCATGAGCAAATCCTAATATCTTGTGCAGTTTGCTGTTTTGGCTTGTTTTAAAGATGTTAAGAATGACAAAAATGACTGATTAAAAATATAGTTTTCTAACCTCAACTGCATATTTAACACCTTAATAAAATAAATGCATGTTATTTTTAGTTGTTTTCATGAAGATCATTGTTTGCTCTGTGTAAATGCATCTTTTGGTGGTATCGATGTCAAATCGGTGCAATCTTTATGGTAGAAGAATGCTTTGGATTTTTGGTGCAAATCACCCGAGATGTATAATCTCGGATAAATAGAATAAATTCTATTTCTAAGCCTGTATTTGTATTGTTGTTCTTCAGTAGAATCATTAATGGCATCATTATGGATGAGCGTTGTGTAAGTCTCTCGTGTGGGATGCAGCGAAGGCTTTTAGCAGGTGTGTGTTAAAGCGTGTGCTGATCTGCTCTGTGTTCACGGAGCGGCTCTGCTCTCTGTTGCAGTGGCACCAGCTGGAGTTGGGGCTGGGCATCGGCCGGAAGCAGCATCCTGGCCGAGTTTGGCACGCTGCACCTGGAGTTCCTTCACCTGTCCCAGCTGTCCGGAAACCCCCTGTTCACTGAGAAGGCGAGAGTCCTTTACGTCCTGATGATTCACGCTGAGAGGATGGGATACGGGCCGTGAATGAACCCTATGATTTGTGTTTTTCTTTAGGTGATGAACATCCGAAAGCTGCTGAACAAAATCGAGAAGCCTCACGGTCTGTATCCCAACTTCCTGAGTCCTGTCAGCGGCAACTGGGTACAGCGTAAGTAACACATTTCTTCATTTAGCAGACACTTTTAGACAAAACGTCCAAATGAGAAATACAAGAAATTCAAATCATTTGATACCAGCAGGAACTACACTACTTTTGTGTGTGTGTGTGTCTGTCTGTGTCTGTGTGTGGTGTGTGTGTGTGTGTATTAATAAGATGTATTATAATTAAAAATATTAATTATTATATAATTATAAAATATTCAGAAGTACAATAAATAAATTTCACAATAGTTATTACAATAATATGATAACATATATATATATATATATATATATATATATATATGTGTGTGTGTGTGTTATCAGACTACATGGATACTTTTTAATGACTGTCAATGGAAAAATTTGGCATTTGCAGCCAGATGGTGTAATGACATCTAGCAGAAGCTAACAGACCCATGCTAACCATATTATTGTAATAACTATTTTAATTTATCTCATTTATTATCTCAGCATAAAATAAAAATATATTTATAAGATTTATTATGATTAAAATGACTTATTATATAATTATTAAATATATAACACTGCAAATAAATATCAAAATAGTTATCATAATAATAATACAATAAGTATATGATTAATGTAATTATAATAATTCTATTTTATACTATACACACACATATATGTAGTTATAAGTATTTAAATAAATATGATCATATTTCTATTTATGCTGAGATTTATAATATAATTCTAAAAATAAACATACTTTTTACTATAAATATTAAAATATTATATTTAAATATTTAAATTGTGTGTGTGTGTGTGATTATATAATTGTATATTAGTTTTATTTAAATATTTTACTACAAATAAATATTAAGTGCTATTATTAAATTCTAAACATATTTTATATAATTATAAATATATGTGCTATAAAAATAATCATGTGTGTGCCAGATATATTAGCTTTATTAGTACAGTCTTCTTTCCTCTGTTGATGCATTTCTTGTTAAAACAGGACGTTGTAGCAAGACATAGCAACATGCAATGCAAAAATATCTTAACTCAAAAAATAGGCTTTTTTATTAATGCAAAATAGACAGAATGCAAATTTGGTGTGAATTTATTGACTGAATTATTATAATAGCCAAAATATTTACTAAATAAATATGCAAGGTGTGAGAGATGAAATAATTTAGCTAACGGCGGCTCTTCTTACTATGTGGGAAAAGCTGATTTTCGTGCACACAGACTTTAAGCATGTGAAGGTCTGAAACAATTTTTTTTTTAATGCCAGATGTTTTGCCATTCTCATAAAGTTTGCAGAACAAAATGAATGTCAGTGAAAAAAAAACATCTTCAGACTTGTACAGATGTATTATTTTGTTGTGTCTCACAGGTTCCATTTGTAATTGTCTGCAAAGCTGCTTTCTATATTTTAAGCAGACTGAAATAGAATTAAGTTCGTGAAGAGCATAAATTCACTGGAGGATGTCCAGACTTTTGACTGCTGGTGTAGATACATTTATTTTTGTTATTATTTGTTCTTGATTTTTCTCTGTGGCGTCTTTGAGATTCACAGTGCAATTATTCTGGCACGCATGAAACGGATTGAGCCAAGCAGGGACATGATCCCACAGCCAAGAGTTATTAAAATGATAATAAATCCCATTACCTTCATTTTTATTTGATTATTTATTAAGATTTATTTTAATGAAAATATTTTAATGTGTGTGTGTGTGTGTGTGTGTGTGTGTGTGAGTGAGAGAGAGA